GGGGGGGTTGCGTGTTGCAGTCTCACGCTTTACTGCAGGGTTTAGAGCAAAATAACAAACAAAACTCCAGTCATGCATCCATCAGTGTGAGAGGATCCCTGAAGCTTTGTGTTTCCTCAGCCCGAAATCATTGGTTACATAAAAGTGATCGTATGAATAAGTCAGAAGCAAAATGCTTTTGACCCGCTCTCCTGGCTTCCATAGACGTTACGTCTGCATCGTCAAACAAAGTGACAATAGCGCAGAGAGCGTTTAATACCCCCCCCTCTGTACCACATGAACTGTTGTTGTAAGAGAAGGCTGAATGAGCAAAGATGTTCTCTTTATACCACAGCACGCTGCTCTCTCAGGTCACTCTCAGTGTGTTCAGCTATTTAAAAGTGAGATTTAATTGAACTTAAAGGGACTTCAGTCTACAGTTCATTTTAACTTCAGAGGATAAATAACTTTCCATCAAGTAAAAACCTAAATTGTTTATTTGTGCCAGAGATTTGTTCGTTAAACTGAAGCTTAATTAACCTAATAGTTGGAGAACTTAATCACATTTAGATGCTCTCTTAACTCATCAATGTATTTAGAGTATGAACATGTATGGTTAAGGAGTTTTAAACTGGTTATGAAACAGTTTCAGTTTAATACTGCTATATGACCTATGTTAGCAAACGAGACCATCATTAAGAAGACTATGATTATTTAGCTACTCTTAATGCCTGTTGCCTGGTCCGGTTCCCCATGAAATCCCACAAAACCATTTACCAGAACAGCCCTTGTTTACGTTTCCCAGGTAAAGACAGTTAAAAGCAAGAGTACGTTTTCCTTACGACTGTTTTATTTTTGACATTATGTTTTGTGGTTATGGATGATAATTGAGGCAGGATCAGCAACAAGGAAGACAAAGAAATTGACCAAAGGACAAAATAAATAAAAATAAAAATAAAGTGTCTCTTTTCACTCGTGCTCAAAGCAAATGACTGCGCTAGCCCGATGAAGATCTATACAACACGAGGCGGTGGTGCTCATGGAAACACTACCGCCTTTGTCCACAGGGGGCGGCAGAGATGAAGACAAAAGTGAAGTTTTCTGCAGGATTGCGGTCGCAGTTTGAAACAGTTTGAAGCACGTGGTCAACAGAACAAAACACAAAACTTTGTCCGGTTTAGAGAATAAAATATCATAGTTTGGCTTAAAATTACTACAAAATTGACAGAAAAAAACCCGCAAAAAAAATATGTTTTGGCAAACAAAACAACTTGGTTACATTTAGGCAACAAGAGTAAGTTTGGTTCACACAAGACACAAACAGCAGTCTGTGTATTCTTGACCCATCCACAAACCCAACCTTTAAACTAGCAGACTTCCACGGACTTATTTCAAACGTATTTGTGATACATCAAAAGAAAACATAATGCAAGACAAAATACTTTCTCTGAAAACAGAATTCACGAGGTGCTTTTGTTGTATAGGAACATAATTATCCCAGCAGACCCACTTCATTGAGATTCATTGGACCACATACTTTCATGCATGCATGAGTAGTTCCAGCTGAAGGTAACAGCAATTACTGTTGGAAAGAGTACCCCAAATATTTGGCGCTCTTATAACATGGTTTGACTCACGATGGAGCAGAACCAGACATTGTCTGATTGTCAAAACCTGGTGCCCACATTTCCTACAGTGTAACTTGACTGCATGTGGTTCTGTTCGGTCAGGTTTGTTATGCTGATAGTAGTTCATGTAGCCTCGAGCTGCAAGCCTCGAGCAGAGATGAGGAGCGGTCAAGGAGGTCTGGTGGGATCACTTATTTCTCCTCCACACGCTCCCATTTATTTTAATTTTCAAACTCGCAGTCTTCAGACACGTTACTCAAAGCTGACTCAAGTAACGATTTATCAGACTTCACAAAGCTCCCTCTAGAGCCACAATAGACTCATACAACTTACCAAGACCTAACAGACTTTACTGTGCAACATTGATGGAGTAGTTTATTATACTACTGGGACTGGTGTGTTTTTTGTGACGGCTTCAGTTGAAACTCAGACGCTGTTACCTAGGAATGGTGCCAGACATCATCTCACAGTACAAGGCCTGCTCACGTCTTCCTACGCTCACAACAACATGCTGGCAGACGCAGCAAAGTACGATCTGCCTTCTTGGTGTATTACATCATTTAAATAATTCAAAGCTAGATTTCAGGGTCTCTTTGCCTTAATGGATGTTACAGAGAAATGGCTGACTATGCTGCCTGTCATACCTGATCTGGGTCAGATTCCACTTGTTTTTGTAGAGCAGACATGACCTTTGATGGCTCCGATTTATTTTTTCTGTCTTAATAATGTTGTCCTATTGAAAGGTAAGTCTCGCCTACAAACTGGAGCTAAAGCAGAGCCTACAAGCTAACACCATTTCATGGTTCCATTATGCAACAGTCAACACTCTTCAGAAGAAAGCCTGAACCAAGGTTAGCTTAGTGAAAGGACGCTCTTCTTTTAGGACAGTGGTGCCTAACAGAAGGGAGACGCTGCTTTCTTGGCAGTAGGTAAAAAATAGCCTTCTGTAAATTATTCAAAGAGCCCATCTGCTTTTACTCACGAGTGTTTTAAAAGTATGATTACTACACACAGTTTTTAAAACCCCGTCTCTGCGGCAAAAGTTGAGTGTTGGCTGCTTTAAAAACTCAGATTTGTTGTGAAAGACATACAGCATCGTCTCCTCCTGGGGATAGAGACGTCCTTTGGATCTGAGGTAGGCAGGCTGTGTGTGAGGTCATTTCCTCAATGCTGTTCAAGGCAACAAGAACTAAACATTTATAAAATACACATAAACTACACATGGTGGGTTTTGCACTCAAAGCATTTCTGTTAGGAAGTCGTGTTGCCTTCAAACAATATTCCATTTCAATAAAAGAAAGTGATTGAGTGGTTTAGTACCACGATGATACTCCTGGCATGTGGGAAAGAGTTTGATCAGAGGGCGATGAAAATAGTCAAACTAATAATTAAAAGCAAAAAATGAAAGACAATTGCACTGCCTGTTGAGTTATAAAAATGCATGAGTGACTCTAGCTCCACTGACAATAAGATGACAAGCTCTCTCTCTCTCTCTCTCTCTCTCTCTCTCTCTCCATATCGTGATTACAATATACATCACGACAAAGCATGTTTTCTTGTAATTCAATGAATAAATGTGGGTATGAAATAACTACATGTTACAGCCTATTTGTGAATAACATAAGAGTTTCAAGTGAAAACTAATATATGTCCTGCGTTTACATGAGTAGTCACATTAAGACAATAGCTTGATTTAACAACAATGAGCAGAATTCTTATCAATTCAGATTTCCTGAGTAATTTCAGTTTTGCGCTTATCAATTTTGACAACATAATTGTGTGTCTCGATATATGATTTCTTCACAATACATTTCCATTGAATCGATACATTGACGATAGATTATCAAACTGAATTAGCACTCGTGTAACACGTCTACACCAGTTAGTGTTCGTTCAGTCCGTCTGCTTCAAGGCTTCTCACTGTAAGATTTAATGAACCAATGAAAGCAAAGACGCATTCTGAATAATATGATTATAAGTTCATATCAAATTAGTGGCACCTTTAACGTGACCTACCTGTGCAGGATTACAGGACATTATTAACTTAACAGGACAATTCATTATCTAGCAGCAGTTCACTTAGACCTAATCTTTACAGAGAGTGGGGGGGGGGGGGGAAGAGGGAGAGAGACTGTTCATTTGTATATTCATTTTTTAGAGACGTTTTCCTGATGGTGAACTTGTGCACATGGACAGCGTCTTATTGTTTTAGTCAATGTACAGATGCTGAAGCACACGAGGCCATTCCTGTACGTCTCGAGACTTTCATCAAAACAACAGTTTTACTACGTCACCGCACTTAGATACGCGTCCAAACTTTGTGAGATTGAAGGAATATAGAAGAACATAAGAACATACCTGTGTGCGAGAGAAAGAAGAGCAGGAGGACAGTGTTGGCAGTCATCTCCTTTCTGATTCCTTCAACAGACTTGGTACTTTGTTCTGTTGTCCTCCAAACAGAAGAAGTGCTTCACCGTGAGCAGCTCTGGTCAGCAGTGTTTATGTTCCGTCGTGATGCGGATCTGGTTCCTTCGCTTCTCTGCGCTGGTTCACTCACACCTGCTTCGGTTCGTCGTCTTTTGCCTGAATATTCAGCAGCGCAATAATGACAGAAACTTCTGAAATATACTAAACAGGACATTTGTTTCAAATGTTTATTTGCCAAAGATTACATGTTGGTCTCTTATTTCATAGCCGACCACTAGAGGAGCTGGGCTGACCATTGCGCACCGCCGCCTCAGCCACGATCACATGTAAACCGCTCTCCATCCAAATCCACGAGTCCAAATAAGTGTCCGGGTGTTGTGTTCATGCCGCTCCAAAATCTCTGAACGTCTTCATCTGTGGATCAAACCAGCAGCGCTCACCTGCGTCAGGTTCGCTCTCCTCCGGTGAAGCGCGGACAAGTTCTAGTGCGTAGAGAAATTGCCGCAGTTGCAGAAAGTGCAGGACGCACTGACAAGACGCTCGTTGTGCACGTGCTACCTCCGGTAACTACTTGCGGTTTATGTCGGAGGCCAGCGACGGATTACTATGAAAGTCTGTGTTGCCCGGAGGAGAAGCCGGATGTGTGTGTGGGTGGGGGGGATTGAGTTAGTGTGCTTCTTGAGTTGCGGACCGGAGTGAACAAGATTCACGTCATGGATTGAACTGATGTTGAGCGGCCGGTCTGCTCTGCTGGTCCCCGTCCTGCCAGAGGAGCTGTGATAGCCTACTTTCACGGCACCACGTGAAGACAAACTAGAACAATACAGAGAAGAGAAGAAGAGACAAGCATGACCGAGCACGTGCAGCCTCCACCCGTCTGATCTAAATATGAGCCATTATAAGAATATTTTAAGCTGCTTTAATATATAATATCATATATACATACAGAAAATATATTGTATTGTGTTATTTATATACATATTTGTTTACATTTGGTTTTTTTAAGTAAATGCATTAAGTGCATATGCGTGTAATACTACTTTCACTGTAGTATGATTTCCCACAAATGAGTTAAATGTTAAAATGTGCTAAAAATACATCTACTTCTTCTCCCTCACTGAAAATCCATAATCAATGGCAAATGATGTTCATTTCAATACTGCTGTCTCCTACTTCACTGAGAAGTATAGTCTTAGTGTGTAACAGAGATTTCAAGTTTCCACATCAAACTTATCATCCAAATAGTGACGATGCAAAATCCTGCTCATGTCTTTAACTGAGAGTTAAGGGAATAAAGAGAAACATTCCCCTTTAGTAGATGTATGTGAGAAATACATCATTCTACACAGTGAAGGTAAAACATTAAGTCACAATAAGCAGAACACATTTAACAATCACAATAAATACAAGAATGGTACAGTTGCAGTAACCACATATTTCTTTATTCATTATGCACCAACAGGCTTTGTGTATCTCTAATTATTCTCGGGGTTGACAATTTGCTTTTATTAAGCGATACTTTACTTTGAAACTTATTCTGTTAAAAGAGCTAATATCTCCAGTTCCTACTATCCTACATCATCATCCATCAAAGGCACAGTCATGGTGCATATGTGTGCTTGCCTTTATAAAAGTATTTTTAACAGTTGGACCAGGTGCACGAGGCAATGATTTGCAGTCTCACTAAGAGGAGATTCATGTCACAGGCCACTCTGCTGCAGAAGTCACCGTGAAGAGAGAGAAAGGATCGAGTGTGAAAGCAATAAAGAGGAGAAGACATGAAGAGGCAGCGCCGCTTCTTAGATATTCCTGCTTGTTGCTCATGAATAACCCATTGCAGATTCAGACGCATGCATGGATTCTTCTTAGCCAGGGGGACTGAGATGTTTGTTTAGAACACACAATGCACAAGCAGGATATGTGAGAAAATAACCTTATGGATCTTATTCTGTTAAAAAGAATGAAACCCATTTTCATAATTGAATCTAAATCAGAAGACAATTTTTTTTTCACTCCCATTTCCACACACGCCTCGCAGCAGCCAGCCCCTTCCCCCCACCTGTTCCTCACAGCAAGTCCCCGCCTGCAGTGTGGTTCTCAGCACTGGACAACACTACCACCCCGTGAGAAGAACACAGCAGTGTGCATCTAAGGCCATGCAGTCACAAAATCACCTAAAAGTAAAACAATGTCAACAATGAGTGATGGGAGATTTGCCCCATTATTGATGGTTTAGCATGTACATGAATCTCTCACAGACCAGGCCAAATAACCAACACATTACTCCGTCACACGGCCCAGTGGATATTTCAATCCACCATAATGGAGCTTAGTGTCTGCTTTAGTGGCACGCGGGCCCCACAGCTCGCGTCCATCCACAACACCCTCCCTCTCCAGCTCTGCTTCTCCATCACTACCTTCCTCTCTCACACAGGCAGCTTCAGGATGCTAGGTACCAGTGCCGAGATGATGCCTGACACATTTATATATTCATAGTGGGGGCCCACTGTGTTTCGTGGGATCGATATATGTCAAGGCCTTACTGTTAGAGCTCTATGCTTGTTGGTTTTTAATTTTTATTTATCCAGATAAGGGCTGCTGAGTGTGCATGTTGGACAGATTGCTGAGCTTGCAACAAACAACCTCCCTTCCAATTCATGAAGTCACTCACACACAGTCACAACTCTGTGAGAGTGCTAATGTTATCCAATGAAAGGCTCAATCTGTCAGAAAATAGTAAAAATCAACTCCCAAAAAAGCATCTTAAAAATGCTTCTAGTACAGAGATCCGGAGTTCAGATATTATAACTAGTATATTAAACAGAACATGAGTCAACTTAATTAATAACAGTGTCACTCTACCCCTAAAAGCATCAAAAAGCAATTTAGTATCACATTTTCTAAAGATTGTGGGACCGGGTCATTGTTTTAAATGAACAAAACAGAAGCAGATGCCGTCATCCTGACTTTACATTCCTGGGTAAAGCGGCAGAAACATCCATCCTACATTTCCCATAATGCAACTCAATAGCACCTTTTTTTACACTGCTTGATAAAATGTCCATGTTTTTAATGCCTTTAATTTATTTCGAGTGCAAACCAGAAGCAACCGCTCGGCCCTGATGATGGGTTTCTGAAGTAACACCATGATTCTGAAAAGAAGTCTCAGTGGGTTCATGAGTACGTATCTAGAAGTCATGTGCAGGGCAGACAGCGCCATAGCAAACAGTCACTCCATCTTCTGGAGGTTCAATCCGAGCGGTGCACAGGATATGTAGGCCTCGGCCTCTGTGTGAGGGCTCGAGGCGGACAGAGGAGATTTGAGTGTCAATGGCACAGTGATGGTGTGGGATGATGTGATGTGTAAAATAACCCGTAGTGAGAAGTAGACTCCAGGAAAGAAGCCTGCAGAAATCCACTGCTCCCCTTCACACACCTGATAAGTATAGTCGCACAACTACAGAAGAAATGGCAACATCTCCCCCGAAACACTTTAAATACTAAAATAAAGTAAAACTTTAAAATAGTCAGTTACTTAATGTTTCAGTTACCGCATTGGCTTTAATAAAAGGTGAATATTGTAAGGCCATCTGTTGCCTGAGTGTTTCTATTCTAGCAATTTTCAGGAGTTTTAATTTAGAAATGTAACATTTTAAAATCGTTAGCTTCTAGCAGTGTTATACTGTAAACACATTCTACAGTAATAAACTCTTAACGGAGATTACAGTAGGAACACTTAAATAACAGTATAATGTATTTTCTATACAGCACAGTACTGTAAACGTGTTTAAAAACCTGCTAATCTACCGTGTTCATGGGTCCATGTATTAGATTACAATGACCTAACGTTCCCCTCGTCATATCCTGTTCATTTCTTACAGTTCTTTTCTTGACAAATGGTGAACAAGCGACACACCAATGCAGTCTCTTAGGACGCTGACAGCAGTGCTGCAGCAATCTCTGCACATGTGGGACATGCACATGTGGGACATGCACATGTGGGACATGCACATGTGGGATATGCACATGTGGGATATGCACAGTGCTTTTTGATGTCGGTTGTAGTAATCCCTTCCCTTCCACATCACAGGTTAAATTGACAGCAGCCAGTCTGCAGCAAACAAAAGGTAAACGCTCCTCGCAGGAATCCCAACGACTGTCAACGTGAAGAGAGCGCTGGCTGTTCCTGTAGCTGGGATCCCTGCATCTCCAACGCTGCACACTGCTTCTGTCCATCATCTACCACCATGAAACTGATAAATAAAAATATTAGTTAGCTTGTAAATGTTGATGAATCTGAAAAGAAGTGCAAAGAAACATGTTCTTCTCACCTTTTTAGATCCAACAAGACATCAACAAGACTTCAGTATCATCTTCATCCAGGCTGGACCAACAATATTAATCCTACAACACATAATCCAGTTGAACTCAGGAAGAAACACTGTGTCTGCTTTAACTCTTCCAGAGGGACTGAACACAACACGATACAGTCGTCAGATTACAATATCATACTTTGAGAGCCGCCTTCCGCAGTGTTTCTGTGCACTTGTTCACTCAGTCGGCCTCCAGCCTCCTCTCAGTTAAGCATTGAAATGTTTTAATGAAGTGTTATAATCTAACGAATCTGTATTTAAAATATGCTGCATTGTCAAATAAAGACGAGTTGTTGTCAGAACTTGATTTTAGAATAAGAGTAACAAGCAGAGGATTTTATCTCATGTAAACAACTCAAAGCCTTGTAGGTACCTGGTGTGAACATCACTTCACTGCCACCAAGTGGACGGTCCCAAAGCGGAAATGTTGTTGTTTTTAGTGAAGAATTACATTTATAAAAGCTGAAAGATAACCGGGAGGTGAGGACAGAATAACTGGAGAACAGCGTGTTAGAAGAGGACGTTATACATTTATTATTGAACCTGCTTTTGAAATCCAAAAGACGGAGTAAGGGATTAAAAAAATCATTGCACTACTTAATAAAGTATTACTAGTAATTACTCTCATACAAAATGTACAAATGTTTGTTAAAAATGTCATTATCGTCATAACAGGCCTTCAAATGATTTTGGTTACAGATATAATACATCATGAAACTACTATGACACCATTTCAATTATAGAGTTTCATAGTTCAAAGGAAAAGTATTCAAACAACCCAACAGCTCGCATGGAAAAGATGAGCAGAATGAGCTGATCAGCACTAATCATACTGGTGGTGCCGTCTTCTGAAGAGACATAAATAGTGGGAGTGAGGTAATTGCTATTGTACCAACAACAACAAAACGGTCCAACGTAAAACAATCCCAAGACACAGAACGGATGCATACGGTCACAAATAAAGAAAAAAAAGAGGACATAACATATAATTCCCCTCCATTCCCACGGATATTACACCAGTTTATACACAGACACTGAAGGAGAGTTTCATGAAACAACGCTCTTCCTGCTTCTCCACTAACTCACCGTCGTCTTGCACTTTCTGGGAAACAAAACTCTGGTTTGAACAAATGTAACGACGTCTCTGCATAGAGACAAGTTGAAGCTGCAGAAAATAAAGTTTTGTGAATGTTTCTCAGAGAAGACTGTGCAGGTGCCTGGCCTGTCTAAGCGTCTCTATAAGGCCCATGTTAGGCTGCCGTCTGAGAACTAAACACCAAGTGTGATCGACAGCTATGATTCCATTAGAAAGCCTGCTCTGTGCATGAGGGGAACA